AATTGAATACAAATTAATAGTTTTGCACATTGCATTAAATTTTGAGTTTAATTTATGGAAATTTTCATATTTTTAACGATTTCAAAATAAAATCGATTAAATTTTAGCTTAAAGGTAAGCAATTGGATTTTTCCTAATCTAATTTAGTTAGACGTTTTAAGATTTTTTCCCCCTTTATTCGTTTTTTTTTTTATTAAAATTTTGCATATTTGGCAATTCTTTAGAAAATTTTCTTTTAATCACCTAATTCTACTAAATATTTATTTTCTATAATTTGCTTGTGTAAATTACTGAATTGAGTTACATTTGCGTACATACTTTTACTTTTTGTTTGTTTTTGAGATTTAATCTTTAAGTTATTTGAAAATTTATCATAATGGCAACAGAACCTACTACTCCCAATCTCTTTACCACCAACTTTGCTTTCGGCTTCGGTTTCTATCGAACCATCAGTCTGTCAAATTTGTAAGCAATCTATGAGTGAGGGACAGTCCTGTTTAATTATAAATGAATGCAGTCATGCCTTTCACAGGTCGTGCATAGAAACTCATTTAGCCACGTCATCCGAGTGTCCCATTAGTAAAAGACATTGCCAATTGTCGGAATTAAAGAAACTTGTGATTCACCCAAGAGGTAGTTTAGCGAAACCAACTTTTCCAGAGCCACGCGGTGCTATGGCAAAGCACTATAATACCAGGAGTGTGAGTAGAAATATAGGTCAAAATCCTTCTGATGTCAGTTTTATTATGGAACCAAACGAATAGCCAATGCCATCGTCTGTGACCAATGCAACTAATCCAACAATTGACCCTGTGAATGAACAGAATAATACTGCCCCAAATTCGAATAATGGTATTGATTACCAAGAGATCAATTGTATGATTGAGCAAAGTTTGTCCCACCTTTTGGCTAACATGAATTTTGCGTCAAATAATAACCCCGAAGTGGTTCAAAACACCAATAGACCAGCTAGTAATTTCAATTCAAATAATAACTTGTTTGACCAACCTAACGTGAATATTTTACATTCCCCAATTCGGCTTAATTCAGGAGCTAATTCCTATCACAGCACCTTAAATGCAGATAAAATTTCACTGATTATTCAGAATTGGAATATAAATTTGATGGTACATCTAGTGGCTTGAACATTGAGGAATTCTTGTATAGGATTCGGACTTTGACAAAAGATTATTTAATAGCGATTTCTCTATCATCTGTCGATATTTACATATACTTTTAACGGGTAAAGCTAGAGAGTGGTACTGGCGATACCACAAAAGAGTTTCAAGTTATTGAATGGAACGATTTCTGTGAAGCGATCCGCTGCCAATACCGCGAGTTTAAATCGTCTTTTGATATTAGTGAGGAGATACGCAATAGGAAACAGAAACCCGGGGAAACGTTTGATTCCTTCTATGAGGCGGTTTCTACTATTATGGACAAGCTCCCTACACCAATGTCAGAACTCGAATTAATCGAGATTTTAGCAAGAAACTTACGCCCAGACATTCGACAAGATCTCTTGTACGTCCCTGTACATTCCATTCCACATTTAAGAAAATTAGTACAAATGCGTGAGAATTTCTTAGCAGATGAACACGTTCGTAAGAATATGTTTTCAAGAGTTCCTAAATATAATGCCTCCTCGTCGTATAGCTGAGTTATCAATCGATAATACTGATGAAAAGTTGTTTGTTCTGATGAACTAGATACAGACTTATCTGTTAATGCTCTACAAGACACAGAATTTACTGGCAAATGCTGGAACTGTGATGAAATTGGCCACCATTGGCAGGATTGCCTTAAAGATAGGACCATATTTTGCTATGGTTGTGGGGAAAATCAGGTATATAAACCAACTTGCACCAAATGTGCGCTAAGGAAACAAAACCGTACAAAAAACTTCCAGAACCCTTTTCCAAAGGAGAACAAATAATATCTAATGATAATCCTGGCTTAGACAAACATTCCCTCGATAATGACCCTTGCAAACCTACTGGATATGACGATAAAATAACCCTTAATTATGAATTTGGTAAGATTAAACTACTTCAACGCGAAATTGACAAAAAAGTTGAAAATTTGGTTGATACTTATGATAATAAGGTTGTTGAACCTTCAAGTAAGATTATTTTCCCTCGTTTACCTTATCATAAACGTTGGCAAATGTATCTTGAAAGAAGAGATCAAATTTTTAATATTTCGTCAATTTCTGAAAAGATCCACTGTCCGTTTAAGAAAATATTTTCGCATGAAAAAATTTTGTAGAAAATTTTTAGTTTCACCAATAGTTTCTGACGCAAAAGACATAAGATATTATGCAAAAGTATCTTTTTTGAAATTTTCCGAATATGGCCTCTTAGATACGGGTGCAAATATAAGTTGCATAGGATCAACTTTTTCGAAATTTTCTAATTATAACAAATGCAAGTCATATGTAAAAATAGCAGATGGTAAACTTCAATCGGTTTTAGGATGGTTAGATGCAGACATTTTTTTCAAAGATAGTACCAAAACCATAAAATTGTTTATAATACCGTCTATTTCTCAGCGACTAATTTTGGGTCTTGATTTTTGGAAGTCGTTTAACATATGTCCAGAATTAATTGGCTCCTCTAATATTATAGCTTTAAATAGTCCGTCTAATAGTCCCTCCGATGTGAATAGTATGTCTGATGTTTTGTCCGATTTTGCGAAAACTTCTACTCCAATTGAAGAAAACCAGTATCCCCTTAATATTGAACAGAAAAAGCAACTAGATCCTATAATCACTTTGTTTCCCAATTTTGATAGACATGGTTTAGGTAGAACGAAACTAATAGAACACAAATTGATGTAGGTAATGCTTCTCCTGTGAAACAACGATTTTACCCAGTGTCACCAGCAGTTGAGAAGCTTATGTTTGGTGAAATTGACAGGATGCTAAGTCTAGGGGTCATAGAACCATCTTCCTCCCCTTGGAGCTCTCCAATTAGGTTAGTCGTTAAACCTAACAAGGTTCGTTTATGCCTTGACGCGAGAAAGTTGAACATGGTAACTAAAAAAAGATGCATACCCATTGCCAAATATTAGTGGTATCTTCGCAAGGCTCCCTAAAGCAAACATTATATCCAAACTGGACCTGAAAGATGCCTACTGGCAAATTGGTTTGGATGAGGCTTCAAAACCTTTGACTGATTTTACGGTCCCGGGGAGACCTTTATATCAGTTTGTGGTGATGCCGTTTGGGTTATGCAATGCCCCACAAACCATGTGTCGACTTATAGATGAACTTATACCCCCAGATCTTAAAAATAGTGTTTTTGGTTATCTAGATGATCTTGTCATTGTTTCTGAGGACTTTGAGTCCCATGTAGAGGTTTTGGTAAGATTAGCATCGCAGTTTAGAAAAGCAAACTTAACTTTAAATATTGGAAAGAGTAAGTTTTGTGTAACAATAACAAATAATCTCGGTTTTGTGATAGGAGACGGAGGTGTTACAACAGATCCCGAAAAGATTAGTGCGATAGTCAATTGGCCTGTTCCTAAAAATCTCAAACAAGTGAGAGGATTCCTTGGATTGGCGGGATGGTATCGCAGATTCATTGACAACTTTTCCACAGAGGTGTGTCCCATTACCGACGTGCTCTCAACCAAGAAGAAGTTTACATGGACACCTGAGGCGCAAGCAGCATTTGTACGAGTTAAACATCTGTTGACAACTGCTCCTGTATTGACAAATCCGGACTTTTCGAAGAAGTTTTTCCTGCACCGTGACGCGAGTGATTATGGCATTGGCGCAGTTCTGGTGCAATTGGATGCTCAAGGTGAAGAAAAGCCCATTGCATTCGTGAGTAAAAAGCTTAATGCTGCGCAGCGTAATTACTCCGTTACAGAGCGGGAATGCTTGGCAGCATTGGAAGCCATCAAAAAGTTCCGATGCTAGTTAGAAATGCAGGAGTTTGAAGTTGTCACAAACCATTCTAGCCTACTCTGGTTGATGAAGCAAGCTGATTTAAATGGACGTCTGGCCCGATGGGTTTTTAAATTACAGCCATACAAATTTTCTATAAGCCACCGAAAGGGGAAAGAAAATATCGTACCTGATGCCTTATCCAGAATACCGAATGATAATATTAGTGCCTTGGAACTTATTCAGCCGGAAGTCGACTTAAGTTCACCCTACTTTGAGGATAAAGAATCCCAAGACTTAAAAGCAAAAATAACACAAAATCAAAGCAAATATCCTGATGTTAAAGGAGAAGATAAGTACGTATATATACGTCCGGAACACTATACCGGGGATGAAGAGCAAGAGAACTTGTCATGGAAATTGTGGATACCCTACAGACTTCGAGAAGATACTATCAGAAGAGCACACGATTCCCCTACAGCTGCGCATGGCGGTATGATTAAAACATTAGACTTATTGAGAAGAAATTGCTATTGGCCTGGTTTGATAAAGGATGTTAGAAACTATGCGACACTTGTAAAGCTACCAAAGCACCGATCTTTATATTAAAACCTCCTATGGGTAACCCAGCAATATCTGTGAAACCATTCCAACGATTATATATCGATCTGTTAGGAACTTATCCCAGGATTAATCTGGTTTCATAGGTTTACTCATTGTACTGGATCACCTCACAAAGTTCCACTGGTTGTGTCCTCTCAAAAAGTTTACTTCAGCTAACATTCAACATTATTTGGAGCAAAACATTTTCCACATATACGGTTTTCCTGAAATCATAATTAGCGACAACGGTAGCCAGTTCAAAGCCAATGATCTAAATGCATTTTTCACTCAATATGGCATAAAACACAACTATACTGCATACTACTCCCCCCAATCCAACGCATCTGAAAGGGTAAACCGATCACTTATAGCCGGAATAAGGGCATATTTAAAAAATGACCATCGACTTTGGGATGAGCAGCTCAGTGCTATTAGTTGTGCCCTCCGAAACTCTTACCACCAAGCCATCAACGTTTCGCCCTACCATGCACTCTTCAGGTTTGACATGATAACCCATGCCTCCTCTTATGAACTGCTTAGAAAACTTGAATTGTTAGAAGAACCCTGCGCAAAGATTGCTCGTGACGATCATCTTCACCTTATTCGTCAAAATTTACGAAAATATATAAAAGAAGCTTTTGATAGAAATCAAAAACAATATAATTTACGCACTAGACTACAATCTTTTGCTGTAAATCAAGAAGTTTTTAGGCGCAATTTTGCGCAAAGCAATATGGAAAAAGGTTTTAATGCCAAATTAAGCCCAATGTTTATCAAAGCTCGAGTTCGCGAGAAAGTCGGTAACCACTACTACGTTTTAGAGGACATGCAAGGAAAACTTGTCGGAACCTTCCATGGCAAGGATATTCGTGCATAAACGACCTCTTTCTAGCTATTTTCCCTACGTAAGACTAGTAAAATATCTTGTTTTGTAATGGACGTTTATGTCCAGAAGACAAAATTTTACACTTACCTTTGCATTATACTAAAATACCTAAATTTTAGCCCACATAATCCAATATATTTTCATATTTATTGATATCCAGTCTTAGCCATGGAATAATATGTATTTTGCCTTAGAGTTAATCCACAGCAATGGTATTAATTTGGAAAAATGACAAAATCCTTAGTCGAAAGTCTAGTTATGTGAAATAAGATACATTTTTTGATTCAATTAACAACTTTAGTAAAAATAGCCTAGATTTTTGAATTTTCCACAAATTAACATTTATTTGTATTTTAACAAATATAAAACAATTTCTTTTAGGTTAGGTTAGGTTGATAGGAGGATGTATACTACATCAAATCCGAAGAAATACACCTAGGCCACTATCGGGCCTGTTGTGCGCTCCAATTCAAGAAAGAAAGAAAAAAAAAAAAAAAAAAAATTGTTCACTGAATGCATTATTTTTCCATGTTCAGAAACTCAGTTTCCTGGACGTAATTCCTAAGAATCTTCCAATCGGTGTTGATTAAGAATGTTATTTCCGGAATAACATCACTTCCAAGATACTTGGATCTAACTTCGACGAATGCCTGATAATGGCAAAGAAATTGCTCCAGAGTTTCACTGTCCTCTCCACATGCTCTACATTCGTCTGAATCCGCACGTCCAATTTTGTATAGGTGTGCTCGTAATCCTGTGTGTCCACTGAGAATACGTACCATCATAACCTCAGACTTGCTCGTTTTGAGAAGATTTCTCGTCTTTCTCTCATCAGGGTCACCCCATAGAATCTTTGTGGTTCTACCCACCGTTTCATTATTCCAAGAGGCCTTATGGGATTCTCTTATCCATATTTTTAATTCAGCTTTTGTTGCGTCGAATGGTTTTGCGTTTGTCAGGTTAACTACATCGAGCTCCCTTCCCTTTAAAGCTATTACATTCGCCCTTTCATTGCCGACTACTCCCGAGTATAGTACCCATATGATATGAACCTTACCTCTGGGAGAGTATTCAGTTAAAGCTTTCTTACAATCCAATACGGTCTTAGATTTAATTCTATCACCTGATATCGCACAAATTGCCCTCTGGCTGTCGGTAAATATATTAAGCCCTGTGGGCGCCATATTTATTCTAATCCAATTTACACATTCCGTTATTGCTCGTACTTCTGCCTGGAAGCTTGTGTTATGATAGGTAAACGGTGGTATATTTCTGTTTCTGGGGCTTCAATATAGAACCCCAGGCCCACTTTGTCCCCTAATTTAGAGCCATCCGTGTAGCAACGGATTCCTACTGGTATTTGCTCTAATGTTCCGCTTGACCAAGACATTCTATCTGGTGTCTCCATTTTAATTTCCGGTCAAGTATTACACCTAAGTACTTAACTTTGTCTGTCACCGGTATCTTCTTGCCCAGGAAGCAAGGTTCAGTATATGTAGAAATTTTTGTCTTTCTTGTGAAAAGACAGATTTCCGTCTTCGCCGGGTTAACATTGAGGCCTCTTGGTTGAGTCCAGCTCAAGGCCGTATTCAGAGCTTCCTCAGCTCTTCTACACAAGTAATTTGGATCCTTTCCCTTTAAAAGTATTACGACATCGTCTGCATAGCAGACAGGTCTAAGTCCTTTCTCGGTTAGGGTCCTTAGGAGGCTATTAATCGTGGTAACCCAGAGTAAAGGTGACAAAATGCCACCCTGTGGTATACCGCGAAATACCTTTTTCCTGATAGTTATATCGTACATCTCGCAGCTTATCCATCTGTTCCTTAGCATGTAGTTGATCCAGTTACGGAGCACCCGGTCAACATAAAACTGGTCTAGGGATTGGATAAGGGTATCAGTGTGCACGTTATTGAAAGCGCCTTCGATGTCAATGCATACCGCCAGTGTATTCAGTTTGCTATCGAAAGATTCACCTATATAGTGGACAACTTCATTTAAATGGTATGCTGCTTTTAACCATGCTATCGACTATCCGTTCCAAGGTTTTAAGTAGGAAGGACGTAAGACTTATCGGTCGATAGGACTTAGGTGTCGCATAACTAGGTTTCCCTGGTTTGGGTATAAATATTACCCTTGCATCCTGCCATTTAACTGGGGTATATGCCAATTTTAAGCATGCAGTGAATATCTGTGACAGATGTACGGAAACCAGTCCCGCCTCCATCTGCAAAAGTGCCGGGAAAATTCCATCCGGCCCTGCAGCTTTATAGGGAGCAAAGCTCTTGATTGCCCCTTTAACCATGTCAGTTGTAATAACTATTTCCGTGTTACCCTCCCCTTCCTCCAATATCGGTTCATCTATGTTATTCGATATACAGGGTGGGAAATGAGAATCCATTAGGAGTTTCATTGTCTCCTCTATATCCTCAAGCCTCCTGCCCGTCTCATCGATCATAGATTCTGGTTGGACATGAGTTTTGGATAGGAATATTTTATCTTCGATACGTCATTTACGCTATCTACCTGTTCACAGAAAAGTTTCCAGGAGTCTCGTTTGGCTTTTCGAACGATTTTCTTATATTCACCAAGTTTATTACGATACTCATACCAGTATACTGCGGTCTTTTTACGCCGTGCCCGGTTAAATAGTTTGCGAAGAGTCTTCCCAAGGTTCCGGATCTCCCCAGTTACCCAGGGTTTTTCCTGGGCAGATCTCCGCTCTCGCAGAGGGCAGCTGTCCTCGAACGATTCAACCAGGGCACTTGTGAACGTTTCCACTTTGGCATCTATATCCTCTTTATTTCGACATTGAAAAGTGTCCTGACCTAAACGGTTCTTTAGTAAGGTCCCGAACATTGTCCAATTAGTTTTAGACTTATTCCGAAACTTTATCGGCTTTGGTGGTGGCCTTAGTATTTTGAATCTTATGTACCGATGATCAGAAAAGGAGTGCTCGTCCGAAACTCTCCAATCCTGAATTTCGTTTATAAGCTCTTCTGAACATATAGTTATATCTAATACTTCTTCTCTGATTCTATTGACGAAGGTAGCTTTATTGCCTAAGTTCAATGTTATCAAGTCTTTAGTATTAAGGAAATCCATGAGGGCTTGTCCCCTGCGATTGGTGTTTGTACTACCCCAAGCTACATGGTGCGAGTTGGCATCACAACCTATTACAATTTCTTATTTTTTCTTTGTGCCTCTTCAACCAGTTTCATCAGATCCGACGTTGGTGGTAGTGTCGGAGAATCGAAAGGCAGGGTAAATAGATGCAAGGAATATGTTGCCACGACCTTGCTTCAGCACCGTTGCATCCGATGTTGATAATCCTGTTGAGAGGAGAAAACATAAGTTCTTGTGACATAAGATACATGTTCTCGGGCGAGATCCTGTATCAGCGTAGAAAAGTTGGAAATTTACGTGATTTAATCCAGAAACCTTGTTGCGAATCGTCCAAGGTTCCTGGATTAAAGCTATATGTATTTTACCTGTGTTGATTTTAGCCATCAGAGCGTTGGTAGCTGTCTCGCTCCGATGGAGGTTTATTTGGATAACCTCAATCATGGTCATCCATTAAACTGTCTTCCAGCGAGTTGGTATTCACCTCCTGGCTCTTTGGATTTGACTCCTCCGGATAGCCTGAAGTGGCTATTAATGCGGTGGGTACTGTTGATGGCACTGCGGTGTCCTTATCAGGCATAGTAATAGCAGTATTTTTAATAGACACATTCCCAATTCTGGAGAGCACTGCTGTTCTGTCTTCTGGCGGGTGAGTGATTTCCTCCTCGCTTTTAGGATTTGACTCCTCAACATTGCTAGTACTTGCTAATGATGCTTTGGGTACTGTCTTAGGTGTTTTAGTGTCCTTGTCGGGGCCGGTTTTGACAGCCTTTTCAATCGGCGCCTTCCCATTTTAGAAAGGGCAACTACACTTTCTTCTGGCGAGTTAATGGTAAATGATGCTGTGGTCTTGGGTTTGTTAGTGTCCTTTCGAGGCTTGTTGTAACAGCCCTTCCAATCGGCACCTTCCCAATTTTGAATATGACAGATTTAGAGGCGAAGTAAGCCCTACCTTTATTCTTGGCAAGACTAGCCATGGATTTCTGATCGATACCTATTACAAATAAAGTTCCCTCAGGTTCTTCTTTCCTGTAAAAGACATCCCATTTTTCCACGGCCAGCTCAGCATTCTGACCTCCAAGAATTTCCAGTATACGTTCATTAGCCAGGTTACTGCCCCATCCTTTTATGTAGACAGTGGACTTTAGGAGCACCGGAAGCTCGCTCTTCTTTGCCAGTCCCAGCCTAGCGCCGTCCCAGGGAGGAGGGATACTTTCCACCAAGTTCTTTAGGGTGCTAACACATTGGTGAGATGCCAACCTCATCAACATCACGCCCATGCTGAACTCGCAGCTCTCGCTCTCTATTGGTTGTTTGCCCTTTGAAGCGATTGCATGGTCCACAATCTTATTGTTGACCAGGTCTTCTATTTTACTCTGTTGGTCTATTGGAATTTTGCCTGTCGGATTACCGGCATCGTAAACAGCATAGCAGAGATCGTCCCGGTGCCTACTTCTGGCAACTTTGGCGTAAGATGGCGGCTCTTTACCTTTTCCTCCGTCTAGCTTCTCCTTCCTCGTTTTTCGGGGCTTCTTTTGAGATTCCCTTACCTTCGAGGTTGATTTCGCCGACGTATTCGTCTTCAGAATATCTGGCTTGGCGTTGTCACCCTTACTCTCAGGATTCTGACTTGAGGTTCCTTTGAGTGAAGTATGGCTTGGCTTCGACTGTGTATTAGAAGACGGGGAGCTCTTTTTCTTCTTAGGTTTATTTTCAGTTGTCAACTCCTCGGGAGACCTGATCCTTTTTGCCTCAGATCTTGTGAGAGAGTCCGATTTTTCCTTTGGAGTGTCGTGGGATTGACTAACTATGATTTCCTGAAGCATCTTTTTCAACTTCCTCCTCTGTGCTCCAGAAAGTCTTTTCTTAGT